CTTTTTCTTTTCTTTTTCTTTTCTTTCTTTCTTTTCTTTCTTTCTTCTCTCTCTCTCTCTCTCTCTCTCTCTCTCCTTGTTTTTATCGATTCTTCCAGTTTCCTCTTCCACCCCTCTGCGTCGCCTCACCTTCTTTGGCCCACGATCCTTCTCCTCCTCCTCATCGTTGGATCCCTGGGTCATTTTCGAGCGCGTTAAACGCTCCCCAGGGATCCCGTGTGTACGTATGTAGGTATAATCAGCGATATCCATGATTCACAAAAGATTCTACTTCCTCCTCCTACTTTTTACTTTTGCTCCTTTTGATTTTCTCTTTGCAGTTCCTTTTCTCTTTCCTTTTTTTTTCTTTCTTTCTTTCTTTCGGGTAAAGGATTTTACGGTTAACGTTGGAAGAGAGATAGGAAATATCGGCGAGAAGGAGTAACGATGGTGGACGATCGATGCGTCGTGCGTGTCTATCTTCGCGTCGCGTGAAGGATTTTCGCCGCGTTGTTACGCTCGCCCGTGCCGTTTTCTTGGTTAATTTGGTCGAGGAACGAGGTCGATGGGGAGGAAGATCGAAGCCGAATTCGGGACTGGTGGACGAGTAATAAAGAATAGATGAGGGCAGTTTTTGGATAACGTTGAATTTGTTGTTGAGAATTTGCGCGATTCGTCTTTGGGGAAATAAATACGATGAAGGGATTGGAAGCGTTATGAGTCGAATTATGAGGAATTTTAGATTTGCGAGGAGAAAAAAGTACGAATATTCGAGAATCGTGAAAATTTGAATATTTCGAAACGGACGAACATATGCAAATTGGGAAGAAATTTGCGAGTTTGGAAATTGAAAGGAATCGAGAAACGTTAGAAACGTTTCGAAATCTGTTTCGAAATTTGAAAGGAAAAAAATTATTAATTCGTCAAGATGGTTAATATATCTCGGCAAATATCATCGTAAATCATGTACCCATGACTATTTCTAACCGATTCTCTTCAACTTGACGTGCAATGAGTCACGTCTATGTTTAAATCCAACGGTCACTGTTGACGGAAACTACTTCCAAAGTGTGATGTGTCTTTCAAATAAAAAAAAAAAAAAAAAAAAAAAGAATAACGTTAGGAGAATTTAAACCTCTCAAACAAGCAGTGGCAAAGCTGCGTGTTATGTAAACACGCCACAATATTACCAAGCAACATTCACAAATTGCGTGCTGGTAATACACGCGTATTCGGATTAAACTTCCTCTTATGAAACGTGCTTTTTGAATTACCGATACTATCTAAATATCGCGTGTAATTTCATTAGATTCTAAACGCACTTTTCACCTAATTCTCCGCAAAAATTACGATTCTTCGAAAAGTTTAAGTTCAACGAATGGATAAACCGAATAGATCGAATCTTCCCGTTTTGAAGGAAAATACTTCCAAAACGGGTAATTAATCAACTACGAGATAACACAAAACTCGTAAAAAGAAAAAGAAACAATTTCCACAGTCTCTCTCATATATCGAGACATTCTCTTGCGTAACGATAATTAATTAATCGATCTCTCTCTCTCTCTCTCTCTCTCTCATTCACGTTATCTTCATTTTTCTTTTTTTTATTTTTCCTAACTTCAACGAACCTAACTCCAAAACCTATTCTCACTCCGGAGAAGAATCTGTCATTATCATTACCTCTCCGATCCTCCTTCTCCTTCTTCCTTCTTCGTCTTAATTTTCCCTCCGGGCGTACAAGCGTGCCTGCTCCTCATTCCGCTTATTCCTACTTCGAGCATAACCTCGAAAACGTGCATACGCGATCTCACGCCCGAACCGTGAACGATCCACGAAAACACGATACGCCATTCCACTCGTCGTTTCTACGATCGTTAGATCGAGGGAATCGATGGTTGCCGATGGACTTCCGGAATAATCCGTCGATCCATCGTGTGCCACTCATCGATCGGGCACCCCTGATCCCTGCACGGTTCGCACGGTGCGATAATCCGTTGGAAATTGGCGCGATGCGATGGGCCGCATTCCATGCCTCGGAAGGCTAAAAATCGGGGGAGGAGGCCCCCCCGAGTATTATTACATCCGCCCTCCTCCGGCGCACTTACGTCTATACTCGCGTGTGGACGAGGGTAGCAACCAAGAGGGGGCCCACCTCCTCGTTCCGTAGCCAGGTATTTACAGAGGCGAGCAAATAGTTGGCGAGGCCTTCTCGCTTCTCTCGTGACTACTGTTTTCAGCTCGTGGTCGACTTCGATCGACCTTTGATCGATCGTGAATGCACGTTTAATCGAGCGTGCACGAGTCGCACGGCCGTGCACGCCTCCCCCCTCCCCACCCGAGCATCCTTTTTTTTTCTATCCTCTTCTCCTTCTCGCCCCATCGCTCCTCCTCGCTGCCCTCCTCCGATACGGGGTTTTATCGGCTCTCCTTTTTCCTCCTTCCATTCTTTCCCAAGTTTTTCTCGCTGCTGCCGATGTTTCGCTTCGATCAATGGGTTCTTTTGTTGTTGAGGGGAAGAGAGAGAGAGAGAGAGAGGGAGGAAGAGGGTAAGGGGTAAGTGTATCAAACGGTTTGAAAGAAAAGATTTGAGCAAAGCTCAGACAAAGTCTATTATTCCCATTTGTGTTTTTGTTACGGTTTAACGAATCGTTTCTAATTTATATTAATGCAATGCTTGTTTTTTTTTTTCTTATACTTTGAAATATACTGGCACAATTCATTTCACACGATCATAAGATTTGTAAGATTATCTCGACAAGTTATGGAATTTCCGTTTTAATTTTCGTTCTTTTTTTTTTTTTTTTTTTCTATGATAAAATTTGGACATTCCCTCGACGCCTTCACTCGTTAAAGATCGTTCTTACCTCTTCTCTTTCGGCCCGACAAACCTTGGCTGCATTGAAAATTCGATAGCCAAAGAGTGGATCACCGTCGAGGAAGTATGGCAGGTGTAACCGATGATCGTAAACGATTTTGAGACAGTCTGGACGTCGATAGCTCGGGGCGGGACGGTTAAAGGGGGCTGGGGTTTTTTTAAAAACGAAACACTTGGAGCCCGATGTCGGCTCGAACACTCTTCGTTTGAATAGCTAATGTTGCGTGAGAGATGGAATGGCGCCGAACCTGGTCCATCACTGTTCCTCGACCGTCGTCTATTTCGCTGGAGACGGTATGCGTGAACGCGTTCCGTTAATCGACGAGACAGTTCCATCGAGATGGGATGAATACGATCAAGAATAGATGATAGAAAATCGTGAAGTTTAAAGAGATAATACGCGATAGGTATTGGAAGTAATGCGAAATAAAAGTGATTCTCTTCTTAAATGGAATTAAAGCATTTTTTGCATTTTTTTGTCGAAGAAAAAAGATTTTATTCCAACTGTTACACGTTTAGTCGTGTGCTTATTTATTACACGTATCATTCCTTATTTATACGTTATATATAAAGAGCAACGCTATCATTATAATCCTATTAAATCCTTCTCAAACCTACCATTTCAACCCTAAAATCTGTTCGTTCTTATCAAGCTGCAGTCGCAAGACCTACCAATCTTTAATATGTACTTTTGTACATAAATACATCGAACAATGGGATTATAATTATATTCGTGAAAATGAATACGTACACGTTACGATCGTCTTAGTCTTATTTTACAACAAAAATTTCTAAATTAAATTAATTAATATATCCGCAAGACACCAGATTCTCCAAATATTTCACAAATAAAATGTTCGATCCGTAGAATCCGTTCGCAAGAATGAAACGAAAGTCCAAAATTTTCTAAAGGGAAAAAAAAAAAACAAAACAAAACAAAAGAATAATAATAATAATACGAAAATAACGCAACGTAATGAAGTAACATAATAACACAACAGCGTACGTAAGTGCAAACTAATTTCCCCCGGTGCAGTAATTTCTTCCGACTCACGGTCCACCGGTAATAAGGATAATAACGACGCTGTCAGTAACACACCTAACGCGGTGTAACGTTATAATAAAACGCATATACGCAACACGCGTAACGTGCGCCTCTTTTCCTCGGAACATTTCGTAACTGGAGCAAACGGCTCTCTCCTTTCGCCTCCTTAGAAAAAAGAAGAAGAAGAAGAAGGAGGAGGAGGAGGAGGAGAAAAAAAAGAAGAAAATAAGAAGAAGAAGAGGAAAAAATCGATCGTGGCTTAGAGATAGGAGAAGCGGCGAAAATAGCGTAAGCGAGCGAAACGGGTCCCCCATTTGCGGCCCCTTGGAGCAGGCTATCGGCGTGGCGCAGACTGCATTGGATCGCGTGTCCAAACGAACACACGGGAGATCCTGCGAGGGCGAACCAGGCGGTCTGGTTCCTGCGTGGTCGAAGGACACGACCGTTAACTTAGGTATACTAACCAGTGCGGATAAAATAAAACGAGGCCCGTGCCGTTCCTTCGTGGCGAAAGAAGTTCGTGCAAGGATTTTAGATATTTTCTCCACATTTTTTTTCTTCCAGCTTCTCAAGGAGAGAAGGCTTTATATCGATGATTTGAGGAATTGGTGAATCGTATCATTCGATTGACGAGACGAATGTTTAATTAAGTATGATCAATTTGTATTATTATTTTCTTTCTTTTTTTTTTTTTTTTTTTTTAAGGAAAAATAACACGTCAGAGACGATAGGAATTGATTTAATATTATTTCGTTTGGAATTTAAAATTTGTTACTTTTAGATGGTAAATGTATCGAATAATGAAAATCTTTTGAAAGAGAAATTAGGAGAATAATAAATATAGGCTGTGTGGAAGATGTTATACGTCTACAATATGGCCGGCGTACCTTCGTGTAGAGTACGTTTCGTGTTTCGTAATGGGTAGAATTGCAGGAAGTTGTCGAAGAGTATAAAACACGTAGTTACTGAATTTCCAATTTTATATTCTGGGAAACAAGAACTTCTAATTAAGAATTACCCTTCTTATCGGCATATTTATGTCTGTCTATAAACTCGTTTGAATAAAACTCGTATCGAATAAACACTCTAACCGTTTGATTTATTATATTTTCAATCATAATTATTAACAAACTGTAATCAATTATTTTTTAACGAAGAAATAGTAAAACGATTATTGAAAATAAAAAAAATAATATTTGTTATAAATACGTTTGCGTATATAAATATATAAATATGTTAACAAAATATTTCATTGGCGGGTACGTCATGTACGACCAACTCTGTGCGATAAATTCGTGGCATCGAGGCTTAATTAAAATGCACCACGGCCTGTCGTTTTATCTAGATACAAGATAAATGCTCCAACCGTACCGATGAAAATTAATTAAGCAATCACTTTGGTTGAATCCAGATTCAGACACATGTAATGCATGTAGCACATCTTAGCAAACAAAACAAATGAAAAGCTGAGTCTACAGGCTTGGTTAATCTCTAATTTTCCTGTTATTATTATTAACACTTGGACAATTGTTAAAGCATAATCGGTATCGAAGCGTATCAATCGTATTATGTTGATAATATTTTGTCTGGCGAAGGAACTTATCAATTACAACAGTTACAAAAATTGATTCCCTGATTCGACATCAATCGACGTACGATATTCCTTCGTTCACCGAGTGATAATGATAATCGATGAGATTATACTTTACAAAAAAAAAAAAAAAAAAAGAAAAATTCTTCTCTTCGAAGAAATTATCATGCAAATATCATCGTCATGGATAATTATTTCCTCCATTTAAATCAAAATCGAAAACAATGACGTAACGGTAAATGTTTCCGGTTGACAACGAAATTTTCTCAAATTTCCATGCGATGAATCTTTTACCGCATTGTTCCTCGACGCATATCGTTTCGGCATGCCAGGTCAAACTTGGTGATCGATACCTGGGTGAAAACAGTTGCCAAACTTGTCGAGAATATAACGCCAGATGGGTTTAATGCTCAACGAATAGTTCTATTTAGCGTGCAGACACGATACGATTATGCTTTCTTCCGATGCAACACACTCCCGTTGCCAAGTGAACAGGAAACGAGATTAGGAAAAAAAGTTTCGATTTCCTCGATGAACGAATTTTCTATTCTCGATAATTTTTTTTTATTATTATTATTATTATTTTCCACCCATTATCGATCCACGTAATCCGATTCTTCTCGATAATCTATTACGAGAATTCGAACGCAAATTGAATATCGTATTGATTATTAATCAGATATTCGTCTTTCTTGCCAAAAGAGCCAAAAGAGAGAAAAAAAAAAATTGTACTATTTTAAATGAAAACATGGAGACTGAGATGCAAATGAGAGATGTTTACGCGGTACCGAAAATAGTTGACTTTCAAAAGATGTTGACGCACTTTGAGTTAATTATACGAATTACGTTCAAGGTTTCTTCTAAGAAAACCTTGAATCGTGTCCGTCCACGGGTATGGAATTTTAATAATCCACCATGCAAAACGTTCGTCCGCGAGCAACAGTGACAATTATTCTGCCTCTTGCAACTGGCCACGGCTTTTTCTTTTCCTTAATTGTTCGATGCATTACGAAGATAGGAAGGAAGAGTTGCCTTTATTATTCAGTTTTTCGAGCTACGATCGCGAAATCTCGCCTCCTTTCACAGATAATAAATTATATATTATCAAAAGTTGAAAATTAATTAGTAAAATGCTTTCGTGATATTCAAACATTTATGTCGTGTGCAATATAAATCCATTAAAAAAAAATAATAGTAATAATAATAATAATATTTTCTCGTTTTATAATCATTCCTTATGATATTCATAAAAACGACAATGATCGCAAATTTTAACAAATCGATGGATGAAAATATACCGTCAAGGTTAATACGAGAATAAATAGTAATAAAATATTCTTCCTCTCGTTATTATTTTCTTGGAAACGTATTTTTTTCTATTTTTTTTTTTTTTTTTTTTCTTATTCGACGGTCGGGCAATTTTCTTCCTTTCTGCTTTTACTATAAACGCCACCATTCCGTTATCCTCTGTAAATTACTACGAAAGCAGATTTCTTCTTCGTTCGTTCATTGTCTGGAAATTTTCCACAAAGTGGATACCTGTTTTATTTTGTTACAATCCTTTAACAAAACGTTTCTTTTTCTTTCTTTCTTTCTTTTTTTTTTTTTTTTTGCCCCCTCTCCCCGTGTTTATACGAACAAATAACGATACACTTTAAAAAAGCTTATTAAGAAATCAAAGATATTGGCGATAGCTCAATGTGTACATCGTTACAGTATTAACGGTCGGGTGAAGTCGGTTTTTAGAAAGGTTTAGGCAGAATTTACTTTTAGCGATTAAGAGATTCCATAATGAGATTTCTTTCCCATTGAAGTTGCACAAAAGGCTTTTTTAATCGATAATGCAGTTCTCTTGGTAATTTTCATGCCCCCACTGTCAATATGAATCCAATTTTCCGATTGAATCTTGCGACATTACTTCAATGGAGAATTTTACCACAGGGCGCGTCATTAAGTATTCAAAGATCGAGTAACGTTAGGTTCGTGCAAATGAAACGTGCGATAGGACGGCAATCTACTTTCGAATTTCGATATTTTATTGAAATCTGACGTTAGAATCTTCTAGATTTCGATTTTCCAAGTGGAAAACAGATTATTCTCTAATGATCTGAATCGTTTTCGTTTATATATACGAGCAAAATATTCCACGATTGGGAAAAATAAGATTATTGACTCGTTTTAAGTAATAATAATAATAATAATAATAATAATAATGATGATAGTAATAATAGGTTGTTATTACAAAGAGGGGGAGAGAATAAAATTAATTTACGAATAAAAGTTCGCGTTTCGATTCGTTTCACTGGAATAAATATTCCACGAAAGTACGATATTTCATCCCTTCGTTTCCTTCCAAGAATTTTTCAATTCACGTACACAAATTTCATTAAAACAAAAACCTTCAAACATAGAACCAATCTCTTGGTTAACATTACACAAAGCATATTGATTACGAGCATTACGTCGAAATAAAGAAAGAAGAAAATAAAGTAAAAAGAAGAAGCATTCTACGGGATGTTCTTTCTTTTTCTTTTCTATCAAATTTTCGATTTTTTTTTAATCTTTTCAGAAGAAGAATTTAGTGGCAATAGTTAATCAATTTCGTTTCAACGAATTCATCGTGCACGCTAAAAACAACAATTCACATAT